TTTGCCACTTTCTTTTAATGCGAAACTGTAAATCTAAGCCTTTTATTTCTTCGCCTATCAGATCATCACCAACTATATCTTCTAATCTGTAATCAGATTCAAGCTTATTGAATAAGTGTTTGCTAATAGTATTATATTTAGATGTTGTATCAATTAACGCTTTTACTGAGATTTTTCCTTCTACAAGTGTATTGATGAAACATGTTAAATATGTTTAATGATGTATATTATAAGCAAAAAATAATATTTATTCTAAATTTTATTATGTATTAATATATTAAATAATAGCAAAGCTAGTACCAAGGTACATATTATGATACAATATTGACAATAAATAAAGCTATATTAGAAAATAATCATAAAGCTCGAAATAGTAATAGTGTGATATCTCGCATTATTAAACAAGTATCAAATAAAAAAATTCAGATCTCTCTCCATCAATTACTAAAAATAGTAAAACCTAAGATTCAGCAAGATATTATAAACTCGATAGCAAACCCGGATTTTTCTTGGAGAAATCGTACACTTTCTGAGGCTAAAAGAAAAAATACAATTTTTAACGATACCGCATCTAAGTCATTATCTGAATTTGAATCTGGGTCTGGCTCTGAATCCTTTTATAATAATGAAGATTTTACTGTAGATATGGTAAAAGTGAAGAAGCGCAATTAATCTTGATCATAGATATGAAATCGTTTTGCTTGCTCATAAGAAACTCCTCTTTTTCTATAATTGACTACAACGTAATTTTGCACAGGAGAAGTATGATTATCAGATGAATGACGTAGATATTCTCCAGCAATTGTATAAGCGTGGGCCATATTCTTAGCCTCATATGCTACTGCACCATAAACTGCTCCTAATTTACGTAAATATTTAGGAATTAAATCATAATCTTTTAAGAATTTATTGAACCATTTAACTCCTGGCTTATCTGGATCACCCATTCATCCAGATGATATAGCACACTGAATCCAAGTGAGTAGTTCTTTGGCTTGTTCTTGATTCTTTTCCATCGATCTAAATTTTCTGTGAATATCTGGCTGACCTCGATTCTTCGCATATCCCGTCACTCCAGCATCTGCAATGCATAAAGTTTTAAGTTCAGCAGAACGAATACAAAGCATTACCATAACATCAGCAAGAGCCTGACAATCAGATAAAGTTTTAATATTATACACATCTAATCTTTCTTTGACTGATTCTAATATAAATTCATCTGGATAATCGATACGTTTAGCTTCAGCTTTTTTTTGATTGACACTCTGGATTTTGTTGGCATTTTCTGTAATATCTGGAAATTTTGTAACCTCAATTATCTCAAGTAATGCACTAAGGTTCCTTAATTCTCTACAAAGACGAGTGAGACATGATGAGCCAGCATTAGTATTTTATGCTGATAGAGCTAAGGCATAAGCTTCAGCTCTTACATCTCTAATGCTAAGTCTATCTCGTAAAATCTGTTGCACCATATCTCCAATTGTTTCTTTCTCCATTCCTTTAGAGAGTTGATTGGTGATTACAATATTTATGTTTTTATCTGAGGTAGTTACACTGTGTCTACTTTCGTTTTTCAGGATTGTGAATAAGGCATTTACTTGATCTTCACT